GGGTTAAGAGCACTGACTGCTCTTGCAGAGGACCTGGGTTCGATTCCCAGCACCCACATGGTGGCTACAACCTGTCCTTAACTCCAGTTCCAGGGAAATCCAAAGCTCTCCTCTGACCTCCGCTGCATTGCACGACACGGGTACCCTCACATACATGCAGGCAATACACTCATACACATAAAACAAAAATAATAAAATATTTTTTAAAAGGTCCCTATCAGAAAAAGAGTAAGTTCTATGGTAAGGAAGGCAAATGCCTTGCCCACATTGTTTCTTCCAAAGAGGAGGATGGCACAGCGATATTTCAAAGAGCACTTTATGGGGAGCATTCTACGGCAGCGCCGACGACGGATGCACGATGAATGCTGTTTCACCCACTGCTCTCGTGTTCTTTTTCATCCCTGATAGAAAAGTCTTCAAATACTTGTTTTCCTTCTTAAATGTTACTCTTTGACAATTATGCTGAAATTATGTTAGAGGTGTAATGAAATGCTTCTTCTAATAATGTGGTTATTTAACTAAAAAAAAAAAAAAAAAAAAATAGACCTCCTGTTAGCCTTCCCTGACATCTGTATGAGCATCTGAAAAGAACCAAAGCTTTGCCTTACTGTGGATGTCTCTGGCAACCCCTAGCCTCTGCAGAAGTATGTTCTTTTACCATAAGGGAGAAGTAGAAGCCCAAAAAGGAAAACCTTACTGAGGCCTCCTTCTCCAGCTTGGATTCTCAGATGCTTTGGGAACGTGGAGCATCTTGTTTTTCAGTAGGATGGTAGCTCTCAAGGTCTTCCCCTCTGGAGTATCAGCCAAAGGCCATACCTTGCCTGATATACTGGTAAAATCCACTGCAACACAAACATTACCCAAAACAAAATGCCTAGTGAGAACTGAAGGTAATAAATCAAATTTAGTTATAAGGGTTTTAAAATATATAGAGATATGAACAGGGCATGGTGGTGCATGCTTTTAATCCCAGCACCCAGGAGGCAGAGGCAGGAGGATCTCCATAAGATCAAGGCCAATCTGATCTCCATAGCAAGTTCCAGCCTAGCTGGGGCTACAGGGAGAACTGGTCTCAAAAAGACTAAAAGTAGAATATAGATAGATGATAGATGATAGATAGATAGATGATAGATGATAGATAGATAGGTAATAGATGATAGATAGAAAGATGATAGATGATAGATTGATGATAGATAGATAGATGATAGGTAGATAGATAGATAGATGTAGATAGATAGATAGATAGATAGATAGATAGATAGATAGATAGAGATAGATAGATAGACAGATAGATAGATGATAGATGATAGATATATAGATGATAGATGATGGATAGATAATAGATGATAGATAACTAGATGATAGATGATAGATGATAGAGATAGAGATAGATAGATGATAGATAGATAGATAGATAGATAATAGATGATAGATAAGAGGAAAAGGAAATGACCTGAAGTAGAGACAGCAGTGGTTGTCCACAGGCTTTATGTTCCTTGAGATAATATGACTCTCACATGTCCTTGAGACACAGAATGACTTGGAACCCAGGTAACTTAAAAGAAAATCCAAAGATCAGGGTATCATTGCTGTCCATTACTATTCACCACTTAACTCTTGAACAAACACAAACATATTTTTAATGACATCTGATGTTTACTGGCCACTAGTTAGATAATTTATGCACATGATTTCATTTTATTTTTAAAGATTTCATCACATTTAAAGAATATAACACAATGGAAATTAAGACTTAGAAAATATAAGTAATTCTCCCAAGGTCCTAGAACTGACAATATCAAGAGTAAAGTCCTGTGCAAAACTAAACATCTTCACCTTGGCACCTGTTGTCTCTCAACCACAACCACAAATGCATGTAGAAGACAGGAAAAGTACAGTGACCTCTCTCTGGTTTTTTTTTTTTTTTTTTTTTTTTTTTGCATATAGTGAAATCCAGAATTATTAGTGCCAGATAGACATAATAAAAGATTACAGGTCTTGGCATCATGACGCCTGGACTCTCTCCCATTGCCTTCTTGCCATCATGTCACCTGGAAACTGATCACTAAACCCTTCTGATTTCTTCATCCCATCCCTCGGGGCTACAATGTTGTAGTACATGAGACATGATGGGGGATTATCATTATTTTGTTAACATTGTCCATTAAGAAACCAAATTGAGGATTAGAGCTTAAAAATTCAATATCAATATTGAAAATGACCCATGGAAAAATTACTAGATCCCAAGTACAAGCAGCAAAGCACACACAAATGATAAATCCCAGGAGGACTAGAAAAGTCTCTGATTAAAACATGTTTTTGTTTTTTTTTAACTCATACGATTAAATGTTTCTTTTAATAAGAGGTGAGGATTTCAGAAAATAAGGGCACTTATAAACAACCACTCGACAGTCTTTCTAGAGAGGAATTTTTACAATATATATAAAAATAATTCCAAATATAAGCACTGTAGGACTGGATTTGTAGTTCAGTGACAGGGTGCTGTGTAAAGCCCTGGGTTTGGCCCTCAGCATCACAAAAACAAATAAAATATTAAAGCTCTTTCAGCACTTAAACTTCAGCTATATGAAAGTGAACCACAGGATTATTTAGGAACTTCAAAAATAACAAAGACAATTTCAGCACTCAGAAATCTCCACTTTAAGTACTTTTGTGTCAAAACAGACTAAACTTCACTCTGGACACACACACTCATTTGAAATCATTAATAGGCTATGTTATATGCAATATTTTAACATGCCTTTTGCCTGTACAATACACAGTGGTTCTGCTGCATTCACAAGCTCTACATTCAAAGATTCAACCAACTGTGGGTCAAAAACAGGAGAAAAGAAATTGCAGCTGAGCTAAACATGCAGACCTTTTTTTTGCCATTGTTTGATGAACAATACAGTATAACATCTATTTTACAGTGCTTACATTGTATTAAATGGTATAAGTAATCTAGAAATATTTCAAGATTGGAAGAATGTTCATAGGTTTTATATACAGGATTTGAACATATGAAGTCTTTGGTATCTGAAGAAGGTCCTGGAACCAATCCCCCAGGGGCACCAAGTAAGAACTGAGCAATAAGTACACACACTGATTCAGTTCACAACTTGTTGGATATTTGAGTTTTACCCCTTTTTATTCTTTAAACGATACTATGCCGTGCATTCTTGAGGCTCATTTTTAGTGAAATGTCCATGGATTTTCTTTACTTATAGTTGCTTTAAAGAGCAAGAGCATAAATGAGTCCCTAGCTTATTACGTAGCATAATCACCTCTGACCTTTGCCTCACAGTGGTAAGACCTTCAGGTCTTTTCATTTTTGTAAGCTAGACATATCAAGTTGTCTGTTAAAGATTCAGTCAGTTAAATGCTTCTTATCTGGGATGAAATTTGTACCTACTACAGTAGGGAGGTTCCTTGAGGACATTATACTAAATGAAATAAACCATTCACAAAAGAACAGATGTATGGTTGCACTTGAATACCTGGGGGAAGCAAATTAAGAGACAGAAAGTAGACAGAAAGTATGCCAGAAGCCAAAAGCAGGGGAGGAGGGGGTCAGAGTCAGGAGTTGTTTATTAATGGGCACAGAAACTGAGTTTTTCAAGAAGAAAGGACTTCTGCAGATGGATTAATGTTGGTTATGGTTGGCACAGCAAGATGAATGCACTTATGCCACTGAACTGCTCGCATAAAATGGTTAGAAAGGTGGCCTGGAGAGATGACTCAGCAGTTAATAATAGCTGCTTTTTTAGAGGACCTGGGTTCAATTCTCAGCACCCACATGGCAGCCAGCAATTGTCCATAACACTAGTTCTAGGGGATCTGACAGCCTCTTCTGACCTCCGTGGGCACTGTGCACACAGTAAGGGTAAGTGCACACAAGGGCACTTACATGCAAGCAGGCAATATACTCATACACATAAAAAATAATGAAAATTCACATGGTAACTTTAGTGTTATTCATTCCACCACTATTGAAAAAATAACTAGGAAAACTATCCAAGACATGAGATAGCTTTCCTTACTCTCCTTGGTTTTTATGTGTTTGGATTCTAAATGTGCATTGCTGGAGGTCTTGGTTTTGTGTCATCTTATGTAAAACTCCATGAAGCCAAATACTTGCTTTCCCTGAAAGAATCCTGTCACCAACATCAGGTTAGTTGTGAGTTCAAAATGCCATAAAAACTAATGGCTCCTTATTCCAGGAGTCCCAGTCCTTGAGAATCACAGACCTGGGAGCACTGCAACTCTCTAACCTGCGGCAGCAAAAAGCCAAGAGTAAACATGATCTCCTCTGGGTGGGAACAAGAAACAAAATAGTTCAGGGAGTCCCCTGTGGGAATTCAGCTGACTTTGGTAAGTCTTAGATTTAAAACTTCTAAGATAATGGCCAAGGAAGTCGAGCGTTTATTCACTAATGTGGTACCTCCAAATGCAAATGTTTATGCTGCCTTAATGATACACTTCAACTCTGAGGACTTGTGACCACAAGCACCACTGGCATCTTTTGTCACTCAGGTTCTCCTCGTGCTTCAAGCCAATGCCTCTACTTCCCCCTTTGCCCTATTGCCTTTTGTGTTCCATATAGAAACCAATGCTTATAAAAATACAAGTCATACGCCTACCTCTTCTATTCAAAACTCTCCAGTGGCTTTACATTTCCTATGAAAAATTACAAAACTGTAGATGTTACATGTCTTCAATACATCTTGAATGAATAAAAGAATTCAAATGAACTTAAGAGCCTGTTAATCATCAGAAGCTGATCATGAGATAGATAGGGTACATAGATAAATGACAATTCTCACTCTGATAGTTTATGTTCTGGAACACAAGAGGAGCATACCAATGACTAAATATAAAAATATTATTGTTTTTCCATGGTCCAAATGTGAATAAAGAGAGTTGGGTATAAACAACCCTGGAGTTTGAATTTTAAACTGTCAATCATCTCTTTCTCATTCTTTGTGTTTGCTTTCCAGATATTTCCACACAATATACTTAGGTATTCGGAGCCGGCAGAGTGGGGAGAATGACAGATGGAGGTTTTACTGGAAAATGGTGTATGAGTATGCCGATGTGAGTATGCTGCACTTGCTAGCCACCTTTCTGGAAAGTGCTCCACAGCTGGTCCTGCAGCTCTGCATTATCGTACAGACTCATAGCTTACAGGCCCTCCAAGGTAAGGGCTTGCAATTTGGTCTCTGAATTGGGGGAGAGACTGACTGGCTACTTTTGTCACAATCTAAAGATGTCCGAATGACACCCCTTGTGGGCACGGGCCTCCTTATATGTCTGTTGTTTTGCAATGATTTGTGAATGATGTGTGATATTTCCTCCACCATCACCTGTCATGGATAACTTATAGAAAGACCATCGCTTTGTGCTCTCCAACTGAACTTTTAGTAAGAAAAAAAAAAACATGCTTTATGATTGCACACTTGCTCCCTATGTGAATAGAGTCAAAGCTCTCTAGTTTTCAAGATAGAATAATTTAAAAGTTACAAAGATAGCAGTAACTGTCATCTTATGTCTAATGAATATGGGTAATCCCTGCCATTTCCTTCTGATATTAAGAAATAGAGAAGAAAAAGAAATGTTAGAGACTATCTTAATATTTTTAAAAACAATATGGAAAATGTTATGAACATTTAATGATATATGTTATACTACAGTTTATGACAAATGTATTATTATCTGATTAATAGTTTGCACAGCTTTGTTGTTTGATCATATGCTTAGTGATACTGATCCATTTTAACAAGCTGCCTTGATATTTCTTTAGATCCTCGTGCTCAAATCCATTCTAGAACAGGGAAAGAAGAAGATAAGGCAGCTGGCGGTGGATAGATGGGTGAATAAATGGGTGTGTGGATGAAGGTCAGGGCTGTCTCTAATGTACTGATTATTAGATTATTCTCTGATTTATTTGTCAGTCCTGTAACATAGTAGATACTGTTAGTGACTAACACTGTATGGCACTCATATTATTTGAATCTCATCAGAACTGTCTGAGCTTTCTTGCTGCTGTGCACCATCCATCACATTCCAGCTGGAGACTTGATCTGATTGGTGTGTAGAATTTCTACACTGTTCGTACAGCTGTTAGGCAAAGAGCATGTTATCTGTTGGTTGGAAACTTAAAGGTCAAGGTCACAGTAAATATTATAGGAAAAGAAATAGAGAAGATGGTATAGTTATAAAAATACCAACTCTGGGAGGCTGGAGACATGGTTCCGCAGTTAAGAGTACTGGCTGCTGTTGCAGAGGATCTGGATTTGATTCCTATCACCAACATGACAGCAAAAAAAGATCTGAAACTCTAGTTCCAGGAGATCCTATGCCCTCTTCGGATCTCTTCAGGCATTGCCTGGATGGGTACACTTACACACATGTGGGCAATACCCTTATGCACATTAAAAAAACAAAACAAAACAACAACAACAACAAAAACCTCTACTCTAAGGAAGAAATCAGCTTATTCTGAGGTAAATATGAGAATATGAGTGACTATGACCTGAGAACAGGTCATAGATGACACATTACACAGTGGAAATGCTCAACTATTTGTTATTGCTGTTTATTTGCTGTTTTATTATTCATTTATTGACTTATTTATTTTGAGACAGGATCTCATATAGTATAGGCTGCCTCCAAACTCACTGTGCAGCAGAGACTGGCCTTGAGCTCTTTATCCTCCTGCCTCTACCTCCCAGTGCTGGAATTATAGGCATGGTCTACCATGCTAGCTCCACATGTGCTATTATAGTCATCGAAAATCACAGCATGAGCATGGCATGCTTTTAATCACAACACTCAGGAGGCAGAGGCAGGCAGATCTCTATGAGTCTGAGGCCAGAACGGCTTACATAGTGAGTTTCAGGTCAGCCAGGGTTACATAATGAGACCATGTCTCAAAAATAAAATTAAAATTATAAAAATAAAAATGTGAACTAATGTTTTTACAATACATATTAAATTAGGCACGTGGGTTATAGGGGTCCAGAGGATGCTACGAGCCTTAAATGCTGTCCTTGTATCCCCAACCCCAAGGTTAGTAGAGGATAGGTGCATCAAGCTTAGCATACTTTCCAAAAGTTAAGGTGATATTAGGTAAGATACAGAAGTGGATAAGAAGCAACTATTAAGGATAGTCCAAGATAATTTTGGCTCTTGACCTAAAACATTCCCTCCCTCCAGAATCACACTTTTCTGCTTAGTGAAGGCCAATCCATCTACAGATCTTTAAAGACTGTAGCTGCTTTCAGAGAACTTTAGTCAGCTCATCCATCACCAGTAGACGATGTTCTACTTTTTGATTTGCTCAGAGGTTCTGAGCCCAACCCCGACTGAACACTAGAGAGCTAGTTCCAGAAGTTTGAGAAATGGGTCAAAGATAACCATCAGGTGAGGTTCTCAAGTGCTAGAAAACAAGCCGGAATAAAGATAAAGTGGACATTTACACAAAAGCAGGCAAGAAAAGCACATAGAAGAAAGGGAGGCTTGATAAAGTAGCCTTGACTTGATGTTTGATGGGTGTAGACAATGAACTAGGCATGAAGAGCTTCTACACAGTAAGACCTGGCACAAGTTGCTTGATGTCTTGAAAAACCTTGAGCTGGATATGGTTATTCTAATCCCAGCACTTATGATGGAGGCAGGAGGGTTAGGAGTGCAGCGCCAGCTTCAGCTACATACTGAGTTTGAGGCCAGACTGGGATACATAAAACCTTGTCTCAAACAAAAAACCTGGTCAGTCGTCAGCTCCCTAACAGTTTTATCAACTCTGAGTCACTGAATGCCCAGTAGGCAGATAATGACAGGTACATGCTTAAGGATTTGCAAATGAAGATGTAGATGAAATCAAACCAAGTCAAACTTCACACCATCTGAGACTGCCCTCATCTCCAGAACAACTTGGTGACTCCTTAGTAGTCAAACAATTGCTGTTCCTCCTACTTCTGCCCCTGGAGTGCTGGCTTTCAAATACACCACAATAATCAACAACTCTTGGAAAAGGATCAAAGATGGAGGGTTGCAAGTCACCCTGATCTGGCTCCAGCTTACGCAGTGTCTCTACTGATGTTCTGAAAAATTTAGAAAATTGTTGAAAGGATTCCTCTGGCAACATTGAAGTAGAATGAGAAAGGCAGGGCAGGCCAAGAAAATGAGTTGCATGTTCAGCTGGAGAACTCTGAAAACTGTTCACGGGAAAAGGTAAGAGGAGAAAGGCGCCTAGCACATTGTTTGGTTTGGGTTGCTTGGTTCAGTTTTTAAGTTTTTGAGATGGCAAGAAGCTTCCTGGGAGAAAGGCTGGTCAGGAAAATAAAACCTCTGGCCTGGATAGACTCAGCTTTCCATTTTGCTGATCAGAGGATGACCCCTAGGAAGGCAGGTTCACCTTAAGTCATGCTAAAGAGATGGGTGGAACTCCTAATGTGTTAAAGAGATGGGATTTCCTGGCCAGAATCCCCACCCCCTAGTGCAGTGCTTATGAACTGGGTTATAGACATGAGGTCACCCCGAGTCTGTCTGCTTTTCTGAATTCTTCCAAAAAGCAAAACTTTATTCTTTCTCTCTTTTCTAACCACAGTTTCCATAACACTATATTCTGTCCCAATATTTGGGCTTCTTTACTTATTTCTAAAGCTCCCTTCACCTTCCTGCCATGTGGTTGCTAGTCTGCCACACGTCCGATGTCTATGCTGGCTCTACACAGACATGGCTTTATGGCTTTTTTTCTTCCCCCCTCCATTCAAGACAGCTGCTGAAATTTACAGTTTGCCTTCCCTGAGGATTCTTCTTTAAATTCTAATAAAATATTCGTAAGGCTTCCATTTGAATCCTTTCTTAAATTCTTTTATGAATGACACTAAGAACCCTCACAGGGAGACCTCATTTTCCTCTGTATCATCAGGATCTCACCATTTTGCTGAAAATGGCATTGAACCCATGATTATCCCACACAGCCTGGAGAGTACTGGGATTATAAGAATAAACCACCACGCATGGCTCAGTGCTTAGTGTTTCTCACATTATTTCTCCAAATCATAGGGACCAAAATTTGTGCTTTCTCGGCTTTAGGCTCTTCTCTAATACATGGTTTCCCCTTATGTACTAAGCTCCCTACACTTACACCCTGCATTCTCTGAGCTTGTATGCTGGACCACCATCCTGACAAGGCAAGTTTGCTATCTTGTTTCAAAATACTGCAGGGGAGAGCCCCAGGGCAGACCTCTGCCCTGTGGTATGGTAAGATCTTAGCAGAATGCCTGAGAATGGCTGTTCTGGCCTCCATCTGGCTTAGAAGCTGAGAAGACAGCAGACAACCTGAGAGTGCCTGGATCTAGCCTCCACAAGGTGGTGAGCTCCCCATACACAACTCCTTAACTCCCATTAGTTGAGGCCCCTCCCACGGCACCAGGGAAGACCTCTGACCTATGGTAGGGTAAGGCTCAGACCTTAGCAGACAGCCTGAGAGCATCTGATCTGGCCACACCTAGTGTACGGGCTGAGAACTCAGCAGACTGTACAAGAGTGCCAAAATTGGACCTTTCCTTAGGGAACTTCCCAAATTGTGCTCTGAGTACCTGCTAGTAGGGATCCAAATTTTAGAAGGAAACCTGAGTGCACCTGATGGGAGCCTGATTTGGGCTTCTGTTGGAGCTCCTGAGTAGCTGATCTGAGGCCATCAGTTGCCTCCAAAATAAAATCTGAGAGAACCTGATACCTAGACCAACCAGCTCTACATAACCCAATAAGAAAACAACTAACACACACCAATAATACAAGGAGAAGCAAACCTCAGCTCAACAACAGAAACAACAGAAGATGTGATTTTTCATACCAGAGTCACAATCAACAAAAGAAATTCACATGCTAAAATCACAATGAAAAATAATAAAATGGAAAGCCAAAACACTATGTCCCTACCAAACTCCACCAGTCCTGTAGAAGAGTTCTACAAGGAGAACCCCCTAGAAATAACCTGGGAAACAGAATTTAAAAGAAAAGCTATAAACATGATCAAGGTAGTCAAGGAATTTAAAGAACACACAAACAAATCAAAGAACTAAATAAGATAAACTTCTGAATGTATTCACAAAACAGAAACATTGAAGAAAAACTCAGGATGAAATGAAGAAGGAAGTGAAAAACTCAATAAGCCCACTTGAAATGAAA